CTCCCTCCCTCCCTATCTCCCTCCCTCTCTCTTTTTTGTTCCTCTGTGTCTGTGTCTGTCTGTCTGTCTGTAGAACAGAATCTCCGTCCCCCTGGTCCTGCCTCCCTGCTCCATGAGCTTCTGCACCTTCTGCCCGGACAGAAACGATGCCCGGTCGTGTGCAAGCTGATACTCATTCTTCGGCACGGTGATGTCGCCGTTGGCAACCTGAGAGTGGTTCTAAGGTGAATCTGGTGGCTTATGCAGAAACTTAGCTGAGAGTAGTAGTCGTCGCTAGATCAGAACCATTTAACACACAACAGACTTTTGATGATACTCTGCTAGCAGAATGAGGGATCTCTGAGCCCGAAACCATGAACAGCTTGTGCTGCTGGCCATCGCAGACCAACTTAGCAGTCTCCTGGCCCTTCTCGCTTGCCGGCACAATCTTGAGCACCGTGTTCGCATTCCGGCCCGGGAAGGTGTGCAAGGTGTCGTACCGAGCTTCGAGATCATCAAGGGTTCGGGGCTCGGAGTTCCATGCCTCACTGCTGCCCTGCACAATGGCCCCTGTTTTGTCGGAAGTGGAACTCGAAGGGGCTGCACTGGATGCTGCGGTAGTCGTGTGGGCCCTTGGACAACAAGCTTTATATTTACTGAATTCCAAAGCGTGTAATGCTGCCGGCTGTACACATCTGATCATGCCAGGATAGTATAGGCTGTGTCTGATTTTGATTAAGTTGCGATGCATCGAACTTGCTCAAGAGCTTGTCCCAATCATCCTTGCGTGCTGAGTCCTCCGACCACTTTGAGCGGATGCCGGGGGGCAAAGCGAGGGCCGGGGTGCCGTCGGAGTTCTGGGCCAGGGAGCAGAGGTTGAAGGTAGGCTCGGTAGTGCCTTCGGGGCCGGGTGCCGGCGGATCCGGCTGGAAGGCTGGTGCCCCGATGAAGTTGTTCCCCGCCTTCCAGTCCTGACCGGAATTACTATTCTCTAGTGACTCTAGTTTCTTTTCAGGATGCGTGTCCGGTAGCTACAGCACGAGTCGGGCCTCCAACAAGTACTGTGCGAGCAATCTTTCGGAGTACTTCACCACCGTGTGGTCTTCGCCAACGGAGTAGGAAAGAATCCTGGACGCAAGCGTGGCAACCGAGCTTCCGAAACCCATCCTCTGAGTTTAGTTCCTAGTTGGAAGCAACATTCCAATATTCAGCTGCTCCAGAATATAAGCCCTGGAGTGACGAAGGGTTGGGGCCATCAAGGTTTGGGACCAGTCTAAGGCTGAGGGTTCAGGGTTTTTAAGATTTGGGCTTCAGCCTTTAAGCGTGTAACCCTATATTTCAACGTAAGAACTTTTTAGTTCATGTTTCATAAAGAACATTGCCGATACTTTCAGCACCTAAGGGATGCTTGTTCCGATTGCAAGGTTTTGGTCAAGGCTCCCCGGGTTTCCTGGGTTGAGGACTTTGCTTTCAATCTGAAGTTCACGGATGTCATGCTAGATTGTCCCTAGTCAAACTACCATCGTCTCCCGGCCTAGTATCAGTCATCACGACTTGACGAATTATTCACTGAACCATAGTGCTGTCTGTCCTGGGCCCATTGTGGTGAGCCGACTGAAGACAGGCCTTCTCCAAGGCACCCTCATAGGGCCTCAGGTTGACGCAACAGATCTTGCTGTTGTTGTCCAGGCCGTGGGCGTCCTAACCAAGGCTTAGAGGCGGAGGCTTCAGGCGCAGAACGCAGGCTTGGGTTTAGAGTGTAGGGGTTTAGGAATCCAACATTACTCCTTGAGCAGGGCTTGCAACACCACCTTTGGCATGTGCAATCCGCCCAGATGCTGGGCAGCCTCCTGGGCTTCCGAATGGGACCTCCAGAAGCAAGTTGCTTGTTCGAGAGCAGACGAAAACAAGAAATCCCCCCTTAGGGTGATAGGGTTGGATTTGGGGTTTCGAGATGAAAAGCAAGTCCAGCCTGTCCAGGTCCTCCCGGGTGCTCGGCGTGGCACCCTTGCCGATGGTCGGGACCTTATAGTCCCGTTCCAGCATCCACTCCACTGGCTCGCGGTTGCACCTGACCAGAAGCCCAAAATACGATAGAAGAATTGACCGCAAAGCAGAGCCCGACAGAGAGAGAGAGAGAGAGAAGAGAGAGACAGAGATATACACAGAGTGGAGTGCGGGCTGAAGGACAGTGATTGGTATCAAATTCATTGAAACAATACCTAGTGCAAACGTCACCGAGCCTGTCCACAACCAGCTTGGAGGTCTCAAAGATGTTTTCTGAGCCACCTGAAGCCCAGCACACCAGGGCCGGGTACAGGAGGGCATGTCTCTTGTTGTTGTGGGGTTCGCCCATTCGAACATTCACAGAGACATTATCCAAGAACTTTGCGTCCAGCTTGTCTTCCAGGCGCCTTTAAGACAAGAGACATTCGATTGGCGGTGCACTATATGCCTCTTCCTGGTCACTTGAACACTAGATGCGACTCAGTCACCGAATCTCACCTCGGATGCCGTTGCCAACTCTCGAAGAAGCTAGCACCGGCACGATAAGGATGCCGGCCATCCTGCTCGGGCTGTGGGCTAGGATCCCCCTGAGCAGCTCAGCGATGTCATTCAAAGTCTCAGACTGAAGTCTGCCGAACTTTGTGAGGTCGCACCACACGATGCCACCGTCCGGCCGCGAGGCATTCAGCCACTGGCACAAAGCAGGGTTTAAGGTTTAGGGGTTTTAAGCGTGATGGTCGAATTATGGTTCAGGTTGCAGGGATCGAGCGTTCAGGGTGTAAAGGTTTGGGGCTTCGGGGTATCAAGCTTCAGGGTTTAGGCTTTGGGGTTTAAGAGAGAGATGTCAGGCTTCTACATGTGTTCTGCTCCTGTTCTCCGAACTACTCAATCTGCAGGGTTTATGATGTATGGTTTAAGAAGCGGGTGGGGTGGGCGGCTCGCGATCCTGGCCTTCTTGATGTTTTCACAGACAGTGCTGTCCTTGAAAAGCGCAGTCTCGTGGTAGTTGTTCCTCTCAATGAAGTTCACGACTGCGTTGGACCCTCGTTTCATCTCGGCCCGGACGTGGCAGACTTTCGCCAACTGGGCGCTTCGTCTGCTTTGGCAAAGGGAAGCCAGGTGGCTTGCGAATGCAGACAGATCCCAAGCCAGCTTGTAGCAGTCGGCCTCGAAGGTCTTCTGAATCGACTCCTGGTCAAGCTTCAAGAACTGCTCCTGGCAGTCCTTGAGCGAGTTGGCAGCCGGGTCTTTGGGCATGTGGTCTGCCCAAATGGCACAATCCTGGGGCTTCACGTCCGGGAGCTTGAGGAGGCAGTGCTTGTCCGCCTCCGTAGTGTAGTCCCTGGATCAGGAACCAAGCAACACAACAACAAAGAAAGAGCACCCATCAAGAAACAGCTTTGGTGCACAAGTCGAGTAGCCCTTCCAGAACTTTCTGGAAGGCACTTCGGAGGAGTTCCTTCGTGAAAAGCGGGGCGGCACCGTCATCCGTGGTGGCAGTCTTCATGGCATCCAGCACCCACACCAGGAAGCACACACCTTCAAGAGTGGAGTCCCACGTCTCCTGATTCATGCGTGCATGCACAGCCGCCCTGACCTGGCGGCGCTTGATCTGGAAATAAAAGTGGACTCGCTGGATGAAGCAAACCTGCTTGGCCTTGGTGACCGTCATAATGTCCTTCCAGACTCCTTCCGAGCGGCCCCAGGAGCCGGAGGACCCGAGGTGCCAGCGGCCGGATTTCACATTCTCCAGGCTGTAGGCACAGTCCGACCACACGTTCGACTGAAGATGCCGGGACATCAACAGCCGAACTTCCTCCGAGACACTTGCCATCAGCACCTGAACAGCTGTTTAGCAGACAGAGCAATAGAATCAGAACCATGGAAGCACTAAGCAATTTCAAAGCAAATAGAATTATCGTGTCATAGTAGGAGCAGCAGCAGAATAGCAGGAGGTATAGATAGCCGGTCAAGAGCCTCAGCACCTTAGTAGTAATCAAGGGATTGGATCACAGGTAGTCTGATTCTACTGGAATATGATGTTGCAGCGGAGCAGTACTGCTGCTGCTAGCTAGTAGAAACGACTGGGACCGCTACGGCTCCTGCTGCTTCTACTACTACTGCTACTGCTACGACTCTATAACTACTAAACTAGGACGAGTGCCTTTTTCGTAGTCTTGTAGCAATAATGTTGTTGCTGTCCAAGTGCATGCGGTATTCAAGCACTTCTGACTCCGAACCCAACCCCAAAATCCTGCAACCCGGAAACCAACCCCGAGCATGGCAGGTCCAACGCAAACGAAGATCCAGCCGAGAACCCAGATCCCCGGGCAGAGAGCCAGGTTTGGGGCCTTGGTTTTCCCGTGGTTCTGGAGTCCGGAGATCATGCATTTAAAGGGAGCGCGTGATCATAGGTTCTTCTGTGGCACACTGTATTGCCGTCGTAGCCGACTCTACGGCAATCGCTCTGCAACCAAAATACAGTGGCAGGCACTTGCCTCCAACTATGATGGCTCTAATGCTACAGCGGGAAATGTAAGAGTATTGCAAGAGGTCAAAATTAGGCAGTAGTATTATTACTATATTACTGTATCATTAGTAGTAGTACTTGCTGTTGATGATGTTATTGTTGCTGACAGTATACTTATGTGATTCTGGTGTTGGCTGATAGAATGCTAGATCAAAGCTTTCTTCTTTTGGTTACTTCCTCGGGGGATGAGGTCTTCAGGCTGGGCAGTAAGAATGGGATGTAAGTTGCTACAGGCGAGTGTCTATTATTCGGAAACAGTTTACGGATGTGCCTTCATCGCCTGGCAATCCTTGTCGGCAAGCTTGTAGTGATCGGCTTGTTGGGCGAGGCCAAAACAGTTGTACTCCTTGAAAGCTGCCTCCATTGGGTCCTCCTTGTTGGGCCCGAACAGCTCAGGCGTGTCCTCGAATTGCCCCGGAGCCGGAAGCACAGGAAGGGATCTCTAGTTGAGGGGACATTGAATTTATGCCAAGTCAAGTCTCTGCTTGCATTTGCTGTGCTCTCTGGTGGAACCTGAGAGCCATCTGCAAGATGTTCTTGCGTTGTCTGTCAGCCGCCTGCACTGACAGCTGCATGTTCCGGTAGCTGTACTCGTGGGTAAGGCGGGGCGTGTAGAGCACCTTGATAAAGAGGACACTCAGCAGCCACCTCGCAAGTTTCAGGAAGGACAATAATATTATATCAGAGTCAAGTTGCATGCTACACTGACTGACTGACTCTGAAATGTAGTTATAGTGACAATAATGAAACACTCTAAGGACATCACAAGAATCGAACATCAGAGAATCATCGCTCAGCAGAAGAGAAGCAGTCATCATGCTCATTATGGGCATAAGAATCGAATCAGAATCCGAGTATTAAACAGTCGCGAGTCGAGGACCGGGAAACACGTCGGGACCCGGACCAGTCCAGAGGTGTCGCTCCCCGCAGACTAGACATCAACGTGGTTTCGGTCCCCGCATACTAGCTGCCCCCCAGAAATCGACGTGGTTTCGGTCCCCGCATACTAGCCGGTCCCCAGAAATCGACGTGGTTTGGGTCCCCGCATACTACCCGACCTGAGAAATTGACGTGGTTTGAACCCCCGTTGGGTCGCGACCCCCAAGAAATCGACGTACTTTGGCCCAAACCAAGTCGATTTCCCTGTCTCTGGATTGACTACCCGGACACTGAGGCCAGCCTGTCATGGTCCGTGCCCGGCACAGCGGCAGACTCAGTTGAAATCAGCTCCAGGCTATTTAAAGCAAGTCGATTTCATTAAGGCCCATTGAGGTTCTAAAATCGACGTACTTTGGTCCATATCAAGTCGATTTCATTGTGTGTTGCGGTCACCAAGTCGATTGTCCTAGTCGCTGGGAACATTTTGCGTCGACTAACTATTTGATTGGGTCATGCTCCCACAAGAAGAAATCGACGTACTTTGGTCCATATCAAGTCGATTTTGAAAGCGCCTTTCCGAGATTTAAAATCGACTTGCTTTGGGTCTGTCTGCGATGTGGAGCAACAAACAACAACAACAACAACAACAACAACAACAACAACAACAACACCAGCAACAACAGCAGCAGCAGCAGCAACAACAACAACAACAACAACAACACCAACGACAACAACAACAACAACAACAACAACAACAACAACAACAACAGCAACAACAACAACAACAACAACAACAACAGCAGCAGCAACAACAACAGCAACAACACCAACGACAACAACAACAAAAAAACAACAACAACAACAACAACAACAACAACAACAACAACAACAGCAACAGCAACAGCAACAACAACAACAACAACAACAACGACGACAACAGCAACAACAACAACAACAACAACGACAACGACAACAGCAACAGCAACAGCAACAACAACAACAACAACAACAAGCAACATCCTTCATGGTCATTGTCATAACAGCAGCAATAAGCAGAACCCTCGCCATGGCATGCATCAAAACTGTATCGATGTATGAAAGCACGATCATGCTTGAAGCCAGGCCCTCGACACCCAGAAGAACAGCAACTAGGATGCTCACGTGCAGCGGGGTTTTGAATAATAGCAGTCACCCATATGTTTCTGTGTGTGGGGCTTTTGCAGACAGGATAATATAGTAGGGTGTGGAAACAAACGACCCTGCTTGCAGACCCCCACCTCGTGAATTCCTCCTTCTCGCTCTCCGCCATTGTGGCTAAGTCTTCGACCATCAGGGTTCGGGCAATCCCGAAGGCGATGATTGTGCTACGGCTGTAGCCCCGGCACACCCCTACGGAACCACGGGTGAGGCGGTCTCCCGCGTGCAGCGGGGGCGTCGAAAGAGGCTTTACTTCCAGGGGCTCCCTTTCATTCTCCCACGAAGTCCAAATCGACGGAGCAAACTTGGCCCAAGTAACCAAAGGCGGGGCCTGGTCCACCGGGATCGGCAAGTTCAATGCCAGGAAGGGGATGTTGGCCGCGACGTTTTCCGTAGGGAAAACATATGCATCCAGCGTCTGAGTCACCTGATGAGTAGCAGCAGCAGCAGCAGCAGCAGCAGCAGCAGCAGCAACACATTCGCTCACATACTGTGCAATTATGACATGGTGTATGATTCCAACCTCGGGGTGTCCATTGGTTGCCAGCCAATGGTTCACTGCTGTTGCGACTGAACCGTCGGCAGCCGGGCCAAAGTACTCTTCGACCAAGCGACAAGGGTGTTCGTCGGCCTCCGGGTTGTAGGTCCTTAGCATTAGATGGCATAATGAAAAATTGCAAGCCAACCTCCACTACACCATGATATCGGTCTAGAGGCTCCAAAGCTTTCAGCATCCGGCCCACCCAGGTCTCTTCATGTTTGGCCTTCTTGGCGGAGGCCTTCTTCTTAGGAGCCATGGGCCCCTAAGTGTCACACAGCCAGTGACTGAAAAAAACATCGGCTGCAGGATACTAAGCTTATAGCAAAGCTTTCGTGCTTGCAATGCAGAATACCCAACAAGCACTTGAAACGTTCCGCCGGTTCTCCGATTTGCCGCTCGTGCCTCATGTGTCCTAGGTCTGAAAGTCAGAGCTCGCAGCTGGCAAGAAATATCATCGAATTGGCGAAGCTATTTCAGCTGTGTCGAATTTGTGCACCTGCCCCCCGACCAGTACGGAGATACGTAGCTCACTTGGAAAGCCAGGATACTGTTGAGTGAGATGAAACGAAGGTTCTAGGGAACAGGATTTAGTTTAGCCGTCGGGTTTATTCATGGGTCGGGGGCTCTTTTACGTAACAGGTTTCCTCTCTTGGTATTCTGGGGCACGATTAAAATTGAAGCTAGTCTCGGTCAAAGATGTAATCTCATTTCAGAGTGGTTGCAGGCTTGGGTTTAATTCAAATCAAACCTGTTACTAGCTACGATGACGGGGAACGGGTTGTCGATTTGGGGAAATTCGGCAGGTTTGGAGGCGGCACTTTACAGTCTTTCGAGAAACAGTGCCACTATGATTGCTATGGCACCGGCCTGTGCTATGTGCATGCCATTCCCGGCCAGCTTAGAAGCTGCACTCAACGACAGGTTGCTCACGTCGATCATGGGGCTTCCAGCAGCGGATGCCTCAGATGGGACCGAGACTACATCAGATTCAGTGGATTTCATTTGATCAAAAGCACTGTAATCATGGTCATGAAAGTGATACAGTCATGTCACGAATTGGGTCTTCGTCGGGACACACAGAGTCGAAAAAATCTCCTCTACGTTCATGAGGCGGTTCTGCGTCACGGAATAGAGCTTGCTGCAGTTGGTTTTCATAGTCATCAAGGAATCGTCTTGCAGCTCAGTTCTCATGTGCGCGGGCGAGGCTTGCGAGAGATCATACACCTGCGGCAGAGAGCTCAGCTCGGCTGAATGCTTTAAAAACTGAGATTAGGTGCGGGGCTTGAATATTAGTTTTGGGATATAGTATGTGGTTTAGGCTTTCGCGGCTTCAGCAATCAGATGTGTCGGCGTCCAGGAGTCGGATTTCATGGGCATCCAAATTATGGGGTTCGGGAAGTGGGGCTTGTAGGGTTTAAGGTTGAGGAAATTTTATAGAATAACATGGGTGCAATCCTGAAAGATCCCTTCCGAAATGCCTTCTTGGTGTCTCCAAAGACCTTGTCATAGGACCTCTTCGTTCGGAGCTGGGCATCGGTCAATGGGCTAGCCTTGCAAGACCTCATCTTCTTCATATAGAAGAAGTCGGCAGCCTTAGCAGATTAGTGCATTGTGGCCCACTAGGTAGCTTGGCGTGGTTTTTTTGTTCCAAGGAACCTGCATGCGTGGCTTCGCAAAGAATGTAGAAACCAGTGCTTGCAGCTTTGCTTTTGTCGTCCATCTCACAGTCTCCTTGTTCGTCATGATTACCCACAGCCTGGCCCTGGCACACCCGAACCCCAGGTGTCTCGAACAGAAGCAAACCGAGCGAATGTCGTAGTGCCGACCTGGGTGATACTTAATAGTCAAGCTCCAGCAAGTTTTGGCTTCAGGGCTTAGGCCTTAGGGGTTGGGGTTTAGGGTTTGGGGGTTTGGGTTAAGGGGTTGGTGCTTAGGGTTTAGGGCTTATAAGGTTTAGGGGTTAGAGCTCAGGGGTTTCGGGTTTAGGGTTTAGGGCTTCGTTCTAGGTTTTAGGACTTATATCTTTGGAGTGACAGATGGACTCGCAAGTGCGGGTCAGCTTCCGAAACGCTGTTTGAGGATGTCCATGTCGAAGAGGGGCGTGTTCTCGAACAGAATCACATCCTGCGGAAACAATCACTGCCGGAGTTTTCTATATTCGCACACTGGTCTGGGAAACAAAACAATCGTTGTATCAAGACTCAGACTTAACCCAGCAGCTTCGCACTTCAGCTGTGCCCGTGCAGGCCTCTTGGTGCTTCATCCTCATGTCGTGCCAGACAGTGTGGGAGGCGAAGGCAGAGTGCAAAGTCTGCACAGCAGGGCAGGGGGAACTTACTGGACACGAGGTTTAAGGTTGGACGTCCCGAAATAGAAGCCAGCCTTGGTTCTCTTCCCAGCCGCACTGAACGGCTGGCAGGAGGCCCCAGCAGCTTCTATCCTGAATCGTCGTCCATGTCTGTCAGCGGTCGGCAGAGGGCACATTTTGTCGTGTGTAGTGCACCAGGCAGAGTTCATCAGCCCGGCTTCCCCTTGCCACTCGAGAACGTCACTGAACCTGGTAGTCCAAATTCTGCTTTAACTGCTGTTTCTAGATAGCACCCAACTGCCAGCACGAATGCAGAGAACCATGGAAGTGCATAATTGTAACTGAAAAGAAGACACACACCGATTCCGAAATGTCTCGTGCAGGATGCGCTGGGACTGTGGGCAGTAATCGGTAGCACAACCCAGCTCGATGCAGGCCGCCGCATCATCCAATCCAGCTCGGCGAATGACTGTGCGGGCCGCAGTCTCGACCTGATTGTACTGCTGCATGAGCAGGATTGATGATAGGTTCTTCAGAACTGCATCAAGTCAAAAACAAACTCATGTTAGTGCGGACCGTTGACACTAGCAGAAGCCAATTCGAAACATCCGATTCCAGAAAAGGTTGTAGTCAGGAACCAGCTGAGATTTTGGGCCAGGCGTGTCGCCACCCATGTTGCACCCCACATGTCCTGGGCCTTCTGAAGAAACCTGGGGTCTCAGGATCTTTTACTTTTATCTGAACACAAAGCTTAAAGCCCGAATCCTAATCCCGGCCTTTGCGGCCAACGAAACTGTTCTGCAACATTTCGTGGACCCCCGGCACCGGTGGCAGGCGGAATGCTGGTTCCATAGACAACTCTGGTTGCCTGCCGTGCCTTATGCCCAGACGCCTTGGCTCGTGATGGCCGGGAAGTTGCCTGGGCAGGGGACTCGGAATTTAGAAGTTGAGAATGAATCTAGAGTTTAGACTTAAGGTTCGGGTTGAGGGACTTGAATCAGAAAAATATGTCCTTCACATGCATCACTTTGAGGGCAGCAGCCACTGAAAAATGAAGTGGCTGCTGGCCATCGGGTTGCCTGGGCATCGGTTTATTCCTAAGAGGTCTTGGGTGATTTTCTTCACAAGTCAGGGACGTAGCTTGGTTTGGGGCCCTTGCTGCTATGCGAGGTAGCTCTTGATGACTTCGGCGCGTGTGTCTGTGTGACATCCAAAGAACGGCGTTATTTGGAGGGACAGGATGAAATTTATGCAGGTCGCCCTCCAGACAAGCGTTCTTCTTCCGAGTCGGTCTCACAGGGTCCATCATCACATAGCAGCCGCTCTTCCTCTGAGTCCATGTTGCGAAAGTTTGGAGAAACCGCAGAGGACTTGAGGCTCTAAGTTTCAGGGTTTTGTGGTCCTACTCCTACGGCCTGTGTTTGCTGCGCAGCAGGACTGTTGGCAAATCTTGAAGCACTGACAGTTGTCAACGAGCATCAAGCTAAACCTGTGTCTGCACAGCATCAACTTGCAGAGGGACTGCGAATGTCGCACCTGTCTGCACTGCAATGTTGCACTTCATTTGTTTTGCGAACACGGAAGTGGTGGCTGGACTTTGTCCAAAGCATCATTGCTAACATCGACACTGCTCTGTGCCACCTGCCCCAGAACCCTGTAAGAAATAAACTCACATTCAGGACAAGCCCTAAGCTAAGCTGTTGCTTCATCTTGGGCTCCTGGGGTCTAAGGAGGCAGCCGACAGCCGAAGGGTAATTTAGCGTCGCAGTGTTGCCTTGAATTTCGCAACGGGAAACAGTTTCAAGAACGTGTTCGGCGGAGCATTCTCCAAGCGAACAAGCGCATGCTGGCGATCGGCACTGTGCCAAGGCAGGGGCACCGCATCCTCGGCGACGATTGTGCCACCCTCAGCAGCCTTCAGAAGATATTGGATGGACCCTTGGGAGAAACGCTTTCTTCGAAAGAGCTCCTTTGCTAACTCCAGCCATTGCCTCCTTTTTGTCAGAGACAGCGGCACTAGTGGTTTCTGGAGAGTAGGCAATGGGGATGGCAGCCGGGTCAAGAAATCATGCGGCAAAGCCAGCAGTGGCTTCTGTGAAACAGATTCATCCGAAGCATACCGTTTCACGTAACAGATCACATCCAAGTCATTTTTGACCAGGGTGCGTGCAAGAGGCCCTTCGGAATGAATATGAGCATCGCTTGGCACATCTTGGCGGGTGGCAGGCTGGGGTTTTGCATAATCTAAACGAGTTCATGTTCAAGTCACGATGTATATGGGGAAGATTCAATTCCAGTCAGAAGAAGAATATCAATAACAATACAAACAATAATAATAATCTTCATAATAGCTAGCTGGCTAAGAACTGAGAAGCTCTGGGATCTCATCTTCAATTGTTTGTATTGCGATTCTAGAACCCCTGAAAAGCCGAGGTCAGACTCCAAGGGCCTTTCACACTTCGAGCAGCCGCCACAGGCAGTTTGTTCATAATTGTCAACACATCTTTCTAATACGAGTGTGCTTGAGATTGATAGTTGATCGGTGGAGTGAGCACCCGTCGTTTGCCGGCAGCTTGATTTTCTCACGAGTGGTTTCGGGTCCCTTGCGCGGCTTCTATTCCCCGATGGCAGTGGCTCGGTTACAGCTGTTGGACGAAGTGGAAGAGCTCCTAAATATGGATGTAATGCAGGAGCGTTGGGCTTCAGACTACTTTCTAGAGACCCATGCTTTGGAAGCGCACGAAAGGAAACAATTTCACGATATTGCTCACAATCTCGGGGCAGCGTGGGGGAAGAAGATAGGAAGGATCCTGACCGCTTTGATCGCTCCGGGGGCATTCAAGTGCATTGGATGTTCGTCAATCAAGTCCGGATCGGCAGCCGATCTTTTGGAGGCGACTCTTGGCCGAGCTTTAACTTCTCGTCATCAATCCATCATCCAGTTCGGGCAAAAATGTCAAGCTATTGGAGAGATGATCCACTACTTGTGCGGCCTTAGCTATGAAGCTTATGGTTACAACCCGACAGAGGCTGTGGAGCGGATGCGCGTGAATGGAGATCATGTTCGCGGCGTGATTCTGGAAGACCTATCGAATCTCATATTGTAAGCTGTGGAGCGGATGCGCGTGAATGGGAATCGCGGCGTGATTCTGGACCTATCGAATCTCATACTGTAGCTGATGATCAGTGATGCTCGAAGACACCTATCGGATCTGCTACTGGCCGCTACCGTGAGTCAAGCTTCGTTTACAAGACCCTTCAACCCAACCCGTACTTTTATCCCAAAGCCCCTTAAGCCCCTTGGACTGTTTTGCATCTGTGGCGCAAAGCCCATGGATGCCGCGCAATATGCGCCGTAATTGCCTACTACTTAGATGGCTGGTACGCAAGTGCCGAAAAACGCGAATTTCATTCCGAAGCCCGGCACGAATCCCAAACCCCAAACCCGAACATAACCCCACAACCCATCAATAGACCCGTACACTGACGACTATTGCCGGCAGGCTGCCATGCCTCCGCAGGAAAGTAAAGGAGTGCACCCCTTCGGATGTATCCAGTAGAGCACCGTGCCAATGTACTCTGAGAGAGTCCACCCTGCCGAGGTATGAGTGACTAGGACAATAAGGAGTTGTTCTAAGTGGGCTTCGTCCTTGGGGAATGGTTTTCACTACAGCAGCAAACCCAGAAAATATGGGATTCCCTCTTCTTGAATCTTCGGGATTGAGGCCATTGGGTTTCGAACTTTAAGCTTCTACAGCATATCCATCCAGTTGTAAGATCGGACCCTTACCATTGCCAGGATAGAACATCTTCTTGACACTCAAGGTTTCAGGCTATTGGGCTTCTAGGTTGTATGCTTCTAGACGAGTAGATCAAGCGAGCAATAAGATCTAACCTTACCAGTGCCAAGCCCGAACACAAGTCAGCCGAGAAACCACTTCTGCCAATCCTTTACGTGTCCCAAGGCGACAACCTTCATCTGTGCATCCGGGCCGACCCACGACTGGACATTGAGGCGGCGAAGGAGAGCTTCCAGTTTCCTTGAAAGTAGGATGTCGGGGTTGGAGAGGCAAAATGAGCCCATGGTTTGGAGACCTTAGACACCTTCTCATCGATTACAGTACAACGATTGCTTCATGGACTTTTTGAGTCAAGTTTCCGGCGGGTGTCTTCCAAGTCTAGAAGGGAATCTTCGTAGCGCACTGCTGTAGACAACAATCCAAAGAGAGCATCCAATCTGTTGTGGGTGTGCCCCACCCTGGATGATGTTAAATTTGTAACCCTGAATCCTTTGGAGGCGGTCAAATACATGAGGTAGCCGAGCACCGTCCGATTTTTGTTTTCACGAACGGTATTATCTGCCTCGGATGAATGGTCCCAAAATTCATCCCTAACCCTAGATCCTTCAACCACTAAAACCTGGACTGGTGCGAGCTGCCCAGCAAATCAATTCCACCGGCCTTCGAAGGCCCTTGGAGTCGCAATGCTTCATGATGTCCTCGATGCTTCGAGACAGCACCTGTGGGGCCGGGGGAGGGTTTGTGGAGCGCTGTTAAGGATTACTTAGTGATTGGGGTCGAACGCAAGGACAGGCTTTGCTTTAAGACTTTTGCCACCTCCACCGTAAGTGAGGCATCGTGGGCAATGTTTGCATCGACGAGGTACAGGGTCAATAAGTACTTGGAGGCCCAAACGCCCACAACCTTCAAGCGGGGACGAATATACTGTTGCAGTGTCTTGGATCCTCGATTTTCGGGGTATCTTGGCAGTGACCACTTCGCTTGATCCATCCCGTCAAACTGCAAAAGAAGAATGG